TCTTTGTTTTTATTTCCCTGACTCTTGAACAGGGTCCAGGCTTGCTCCTGAGGTTTTTCATCTGGATCAGTCTGAATAAAACAGATTTTCTTCCAGCTGAAAACCCTTTATTTGCAAAAGGTTGTGATAACCAAAAGAAGCCAAGCTCCCCCAGTTTTTGTTTGGGGGTGGGACGGGGAGTGGAACTGGCTTCCTGCAGTCCTGTTCGCATTAAAGCAGGTTCATGGGACATTTATTTAAAAACAAAACAAAAAAATGAAAGCTATCATGTTTGCGCCTTAGCAGAGCATGCCAGGATGCTGTTGCTAAGATGATGCATGCTGATTCAGGCATAAATAGTTATTTGAGGAGACCCTACCCTAAGGAGTTGAGTCCCAATCCTTTCTCTCCTGTATAGGAACAAATCAATTATTCTAAGGAGGCAGTGTTGTCTCTCGGTGCTGTTGTGTTGCTTTTTGAAAACGTTTTGTAAGTTAGTCCTTAAGTGGGATAATTGCTTTCAGCATTTGCAAGTTAAATGAAGAAAGCTCTAATTAGATTTTATAAAGTGGCTTAGCATGTTGAGAAGGCTTTTCATAAAGTATACTGTGTATTCACTTGGCATTGCACAATTGAATTTCGTGTAGCACTGACGAAACCAAAAAATCCTATTTGGCCTTGGTCGCTCCTGGGCGCTTAAAGGATTGAAAGCCTGTCTTAGGTACTCCTAGCTGTACATAATCTCTCCCTTTCCTTATCATCCCACCCTCATCAGGGCATTTATCTGTATTTTAGAAACTGGAAGAGTTGCATCAAGACCAACCTGTTTGAGGAAGGATATTAGAGTAGGGCATAGAAGCTTGGTATTTTGTAGCACTTTCAAACAGGGCCATGGCACACACTGTTTAATCTGTTTTAGCTGTTGTTATGCTGTGCTAATTGTACGGTGGTGCTGGGTGGCAGAGAGCCATTCTGTTCAGGCTAGTCTTAGCTCCATGTGGGCACTTACTGAGTTCCACAGAAGCCAAATGGTGCCTATGCTTAGTAATCTTTGGTATTGTTTGGTATCCTGTAGGTTAGAAATGTGATATGCTAATGGTTTACTATTGCCATCGCAGCCTTGGCATAAGCGGAGGGACTGGCCAAAGCAGTGTAACACATTGCTTACCATCTGAATAAGAACTTAGCTTAGTCACAAGCTTCTTTCATGTGTGATTTCTGAAGTGTGTGAGCCAGGAGCTTCCTGATGAGAATTGGAAAGAGTCCCCAAAGCTGGCGTTTGTTCAGATCGTTTGGGCACTGTTGCTGGACGTGACTTACTAGAGTCTGTTTTCACTAAGATGCACTCTGTTTGGGAAGTAATACCTCTACTAAATCAGTAAATCAGTTCTTGAAGCTTTACCTGCAAAAACGTAGATCCCATGTGCGAACAACTTTGAAGACAGTTTGATGAAACTAGATCTAAAGAACAAGCATTTAACAAGAAGTCTTGCATTGATTTGTTATGAGTTCAGATAACCACAGAAGTAGATAAAAGGAAACTGGTCAAAACTGTTATTTGCCTTCTGCTCTGCTCGAGAAGGCTTGGGCTTGTTTAACCTTTTGTGGTTATCAGTGTGCGGGTGGAACTGTCTTTATTAGCTGCAAATATGTTTGGGAATGGCAGGTAGTAGGTTTAGAGGAGTAGCAAGTACAATAGATACTTTTTGTGTGTCTGCAGTTTATCTTTGGTGATAAGGCCCAAAGTCGAATAAGGGTATAGAGGTCTCTAGTAAGATCCACTCACCTTGGGATGTTAACTCATGGGTCATCAACCAACCTACATCCTGGCAGGGGGGGACAAAAGGTTGTTCTGCTGCTCTCTAACCACACTTGGATCTCTTCAGCTGTAGGTTCAAGAGAGTCATGTCTATCATGGTCAATTTTTCTCACTTGTTGCTTATAAGGGGTCAAGTTCTGTGAACGCTTCTGGAATGAACAAACTCTTTCCCATTTGAATTTGGTGGGTCACTTTCTCCGTGACAAGTTGTGGCAGTGTGTTCTTTGTCTGAACAACAGGCTTGCTATTGTAACCGCATGATGTACACGTCTTTGAATGAACATTTGCAACCTCCCACAGGCTCTTGATTCACTTAACCACATGTGCCTTGAAGTGTTTTATTCATTTTCAGTGTCTGCCCATATCTGTCTTTTTAAATGGACTTTGTGTCCCCTTTCGAAGTCTATACATATTACAAGGACTTCCATGGTCAAATTGAGTAGTTTTCAAGTGAAGACAGATTTAAGCCTTTCCCCTCTTCTGCCTCAAATGTCAAACCAATGTGTACCACTGTTTAATGGAGTTATTTACTCATATTGGTAAACATGTAGTCTAAATTGGAAGCTTTTGGCAGGTTCCATGTGATCTTCTAAGTGATATGCAGGAATAACTCCAGTTTTCTTTGAGAAAAGATTATGAATTGGATGAAGTTTTCTTTATTACAAGAGATAGTTCATGCTATGGCAGGCTCTGCAAGCTGGTGAAATCAAAGTTCTTAAGTGAACTTGAGGTGATGAAGTGTCTGTGCCTGTATAGATGAAATGGTGAAACTTAAAACCTTTAGTAGCTCTTTAAAAAGGCGGATATTACTGTGTGAGATGTGACCAATGCATATCTCGAGAATGAAGATATTTTTCCTGAATTCTTTCTTATTTTAACGTAGCCTTAGGAGTTGAAATTTGTATGTTGTATACTTAGCCAGTCTAGTACCGGTGCTGTTGGTGACAGTGGCTTGAAACTGGTATTGTAGGTTCTAAGTGTCTTAGACTTATGTCTGTACTTAAACAAATTTCAGTTGAAGGTACAGCTTTTCTTCAAGGCAAGGCAGGTCTGGAGATCGAAAAATTTGAGATTTATTCCTGAAAGTGCCAAAGATGTTATCTGAGCAAATTTAGTAGGATTTACTTTAGCCCATAGAGCATATAGAGGTGAGGGAGTGGAGGAAGATACTTAAATCAGCAGGTTCATTCAATTAAAAAACTGCAATGACCTGACGAAGAGGGGAGAGTCAGGAAGCACAGGTGGGTCTTAATGCTTCATCTACAAGGCAGCTGTCCCAAGGCAACTATGTGCTCTTTGGCAGGGGAACAGTGGCATATCCTTAAGTGTCCCAGCTGCATAACTAGAGATGGATGTTCTCTACTGGGCTTACTTTCTTGTGAATCAGGAGCAACCTTTGTGAATACTCAAATCGGTACTTTTCATGCAGAGAAACTGCCCTTTGTGTTTGGAACAGGGTCCTTTGGAAGATACTGATTTATATTTTCTAGGAACAAGATAAAGTATGTTGCTGCCTTCTCTGTCAACTTCTCCTTGTGACCAAAGGCAATGAATGAACTTTTGCTGCATTTCAGGATTTTATGCTAGTGTCTTGTGCTATGAGTATTTTTTTCAGAAAAGAAAATTATCTTAATTACCATGAAGTAACTAATCCTCAAAGCTGTACTGATTGCTGACATAATGCTTCATATCTACAAAATATGAACAATTCAGTTCACCTTTTCAGATTGTTGTTTGAATTACTGTAAACAGTTTCTTGCAACTGTTCTTTAATCAAGAAATTGAATTCTATAACATGAGTAGTAAAGTTTTGACTACACAAATGTGAAGCTTCCTTTCATATTTCATCCAACTTAGTGAAATATATTTCATCAGTGTATTTTAAGTTTCAGTAATAATTTCAGCATAATTTTTTACATGAAATGGTACAATTATGCAGATTTGTTTTCTGTAAAGGCAGTATTTGGTAGCACTTGGAGCAAATATTGTGCTGATTATTTGGTGTGGCATGGCTACTTTTCTTTAAGTTTTCTAATAAATGGTGATTTATGTTACATCTTTGCTTAATGGCATAATCTTTATTTTTCAACAGATTTTAATAGATTTTTTTCTTTCATACTTCAGTCTTCTGTACATTTTACCTTTTTTTCCACTTTAAGTCTTTTCAGTTTTCATGTGGGTTTCCAGACTCTCAAAGTTAGCTAGCCAGCCTTGTTCTAGCATCCTCATTTACATAGTGCCAAAATTATGCAAACGAAGGCCAAATAAACTACAGAGTTTATCTATAAGCGTGATGCCAGTTTTTACCTTTTCTTTTGTCTGATCTTTTGCAAATAGGCTTTGCACATCTTGATTTCTAGTATTTTGGAGTACAGAAGTATCACTTATGCTTCAAGATGAGTGTGCAAAGGCTCTCAAAGTTAGATTTGGGAAGCAGAAAGGATACTGCCCAGTAATGCGTAGCTTCGTTGTAATGCCACTGAATAAATTACTCTGTGATTTAAGTTGAGCACTCCTGGATGGATAAGCAAATAATAATTTGATAGGGGCCCTCTGTGTTTCTCTTGACGATCATAACTCATGGCAGTTTTGCTTACCGTGGGAAACTTTCTTGTAGTTGGAGACTGGAACGGCTGTATCTATTTGTGAAGGACAGGGAGTGCTTTTATTACCTTCAAATACCCATTACGGGATATGATTGCTTGTGGGAGTGTCTGGTTATGATCTGTTAGAAAACAGCCTATTAATAAAACAGAGGCTCTTGTAATAGAGCACTTCTTAATCTTCTTCCTATGTAGTTATTTATAGGCTGTGACATCTTAATTTGCCTCTCATGTGCATCAACTTCTGTTATTTTAAAAGATCAAGTAGCTTTCACACGCCTCTGAGAATCACTTCTGGAGGAAACAGTCTGTTTTCTAAGGAATCTTACAAAAAGGCTTCAAGTCATGAGTTTGTTGTAAAAAATGTGTTAAGCTTTTTGCTGGTGTCTTTCTAAAGGACAAAGAAATTACAGAATGTCCTGATATATACTTATATATTGATCCTGTATTTGTCTGATTACAATCAGGATTTTCTTGACTCTCAAAGGATTTCCAGTTGCTGATAGTACTTATTTGCCCTTAATGAGTGTGCAGTGTCCTACCTGGAGCAATATTAAATATATTATTCTCTTTATTTTTCTGGTTGTTTTCTTTATTAGAGTGGTCCTAGTGCCAGATCTTGTCACAAGATGTGCATTGACATTCAACGAAGGCAGATCTACACGCTGGGACGCTATCTGGATTCCTCCGTGAGGAACAGTAAATCTCTGAAAAGTGACTTCTATCGCTATGACATTGACACAAACACATGGATGTTACTAAGTGAAGACACTGCAGCGGATGGAGGTCCAAAGCTGGTGTTTGATCATCAGGTCAGCTACACCGATACTCTTAGTGCAAGTTCTCAATGTTTGCAAATCAATTTGATCATAGCTTCCTGCAGTTTAGAAGTGCTGTATTGGGTAACATAGGAGTGATGAGGAAGGCTGTGATCTGCATTCAGTTAAATTCTAATAGTATTGTTGTCCAATGCCACTGACTACTGGTATTCTAATCAAATTGAGTCAGAAGAGTCATAAAAACCTTCGTAAACGAATTCATTTTAGTAAGACACATTTTATTAAAGCTCAAAGCAACAGTTCATCTGGTTTTAATCAGTCTCGTTGAGCTGGGTTTGCAGATCTGGTTACTCAGGGGACTTTGGGGAACAACTTGCAAAGCTGTGTATGGTACCTTCAGAAGAATACTGTAAGCAAGCTGCTGAAATGAGGCCAACAGGATCAGGATTCTTTCAAAATTGGTTATCTTTTAAAATTTGTAGAATGTGCTTGCTTTGTAGAGACTGAAACACCTTAGAGGAGTGGCTACTAATCTTTTAAAAAGCCACACCTGTCCGTGTGTTCAAACTGAATATTTTTTTTACTTCTGTTGTGTGTTTAATGGCTTTTGTGTACTTGAAAAAGGTATTTTGTTCTTAATTGATTTTTGTAAAGCATGGCCAAGAAACAGCACATCAGTACTCATTCTTAAAGCAGCCCAAGAACTGCTTTTATTGGTACTAGCTGTTTTGTAACTAAAGCTGTTGTTTGCCAGCATAATATGTGTTTCTGCTGACACCAAAATTTAAAGATACGTGTTGTCTGCAGAACAAAAGCCAATCAGTCTTTCTGTTCTATTAATAACGAATACCAGTCTCCCAGGTGTTAGGGAAAAGGCAAAAGTAAATTGTCAGCTGGCAAGGCTACTCTGGGTACCTTGTTTGCCTGCTTCTGAAATGGTTTCTTTTTTTTTTCCCTGCTGTCTCTTAGGAAAGAATGTCCTCCCTGAATTCTTTATCAATCTGCAGCTGCTCTTCTTCTCTCCCTCAGTACCTACTGTGATAGCGGTTTCTGTTTAACCTTCACGAAAATATGCTGCACTAGAACTGTTTTGTGTAGGCTTTGCTGAGTAGCATCTCTATCTTACTGTAATCTTGTCTGTTTTGGTGGTTGTTTTTTTTTTTCCCCTCTGGTGTTTTGTAACCCTCTGCGTTTTACTGTGTCTGAAAACATCACCTGGAGTCAGGGAGTTTTGTTTGATTTGTACTGCGGTGCAGCTCTTGTGTGCCATAAACTGAATTCAGGTTTTCGGGATAAACATATTTCTGCTGCAGTCTCATAAAAAATCCTTGAATAGGTTATGTCCCTGCTTTATGTTGAAGTAATGGGATAACAGTAAGTGTATGCTCGGGATGGAATCTGAGTGATAAATCACAGGCTGATTTTTGGATTGATTAAGTGGTGGTCAGTAAATTAGCTGTGATCTTGAATTTTTCCCTTACATGCCATTGTCAAAGGTGATATTCTGTTAACTTTCTGGCAGAATTGGCTACGAATTCTGGTGAAAGACTCTAAATGTTTTTTCTTGAAATGAGCAGCTAGAGGCAATTTTTTTAGGTGATGAAGGGTACCTTTAGTCTTTTCTTTTTGCTTATTAAATAATAAGTTGAAATTAGACTTACATTTTAAATTAATATTCTGAGATTAATACCTGTCAACCATGAAGACATGTGTTCTTCTCTGTTTACTAGAGGTTCAGGAGATGTGCAGAGTACTGTCTAACTTACTAGCTATTACTTGCAGAGGAGGGATGTTTAATCTTTAATCTTAGAGTGTTCAAGTCTTAATGCGCTGGCTTAAAACTACTTCTCTCATACTTAGATGTGCATGGATTCTGAAAAACACATGATATATACCTTTGGAGGCAGAATTCTGACATGCAATGGCAGCGTTGATGACAGCAGAGCCAGCGAACCACAGTTCAGTGGATTGTTTGCTTTTGACTGCCAGTGTCAGACATGGAAACTTTTGAGAGAGGATTCCTGTAATGCTGGACCTGAGGATATCCAGTCCCGAATAGGACACTGTATGCTGTTCCATTCTGTAAGTATCCACACCATACTTTGATTTATGATGCCTGACTTTAAGGAAAACATATGGTTTTGATTTTTCTTGCAAGTTTGAAGCTCTTTAATCTCCCGAGTGGTGTGTTGTCTCACTTGATTTTATATTCACTGACATTCTGATGCTTCTTTGGTAAGTGCAGGTGGTATTAATTCAAGTCTTGGAGCTTTCATGACTTCAACTGAATAAAATTTAAAGTAAAAAGCAAGGTGAATTTTAAATAGTTGATTTTATTTGAATAATGGCAAATAGACCCAAAGGCTACGGTTCAATTTGATCTAAAGAGCTTTTCTTTTAAAGTTGGTAGAGCAACTTTAGAAGTTTCTGGTCTAGCAGATACCCTATGTAGTTACTGGAATGGTAAACTTGACTAGTGCAGGGGCTTACTGGGTGTGTATTGAGATGCACAGGCCTCATTCCTTTGTGCTGAGCACTCAGCTGCTGCTTGTTGTCTTGAGCAGCTGTTAACAGCTGGGCACAGATGGGTGTTATGGGCAGTGCATCCAGAGCCTGATGGAAAAGGGTGGGGGGCAGGGTGTGTATAGCATTTTATTTAGTATTGGGTATTTAAAACCACCTTCCATTGCCTTTCCAGTTGTGCTCATCAACCGCATGTTTGCTTAAGTGCAGAACACGGGAATTGTGGGGTGAGAGTGGTAAAGGGAGGATGGTTAGTGTCATATATCTTCTAGACTAGCTTTCCACATAGGTGTTTTCAGTGGAATAGCGCAGTACGGAGAGGATTACTATCAAGCAGGAATGCTTGCATGGGTAGGTGTGGTGCAGTGGCAGTTCAGCACTGAATTTACATGGCAGCTTCTTAGTGGTCATAAGTGGAGTTTGTAGAGTTTTGCTGACATTAAACTCTGACTTGGGAGTGGGAAGAGAATTAAAATTAATATTGTGGCATTCAAGTGTATACTGATAGCACCGATTCAAAAATGGCCAGTTTTGAACAATTTACTGAGTTTATTTCTCTTTCCCTTTCAAATGAAAGATCAGAATTTTTATAGTGAATACTGTGCTTTCAGAGCTTTCAATTTTATTCTTGTTTTGAATGGCTCTAAAATCTGGTGAAAAACATTGCCACACAAAATTCTGCACAGCTACCTGAGGATTTTTCAAGTATGTGTCTGTGGTAAACATAAGAATACAAGTTTCTGTAAGCACAGGTCATGGAAGTTTAGGTCCTTTGCTGTTTTCTCAACCATTTGAAAGAAAAATAATGCCTCTTACAGACTTTCCACTTGGCAAACTTAAAGAAGTAATAAACCTGTTATTCTTGGCTTGCTGCTTGCCATTTGCCTGTTCCGAGTTTAGTAATGTGCTGGTACCTGGATGGTTTCTCTTACGGTCTGTCTTTTGTTCCTGTTTTGGGGGTTTTTTTGGTGTTTTTTTTGGGTTTTTTTTTTTTTTTTAACAGTGAAGTTATGATCTAATAGGTTTTAGGCATGGAGGCTGTTAATTCTTTATATTAAACTTGAAAAATGAATTGCTGTTTCAATGTTCTGAAGTTATATCTTGATCAGGCAGGGATACAATAGTTAACTGTAAAATCTGCCTAGTCACTCTGGAGCTGAAACTCTGTTGGATCCAGGTTTGTTACTTCATATAGATCATGAAAAAGAAGTCTTTAAAATTGCATTTGTAAGAGGCTTTTTGGGGTGTAGAAGCTGTGAGTCCTTAATGGTTTAGCTCTTGAAACTGGGAAGTCATAAATCCAAGAATCCAGAAGATCAAGAATCCAATCAAGAATTCTTAAGTTTTTATTGAGTTTGAGAATAATACCCTGTTCTGCATAATTGTTCCCTGTGAATCTTTGTGGAGATGACAGTAAAAGATACTTACCAAATTAAAACTGGCAGACGTGATTGTTAAGGCATGATTTTAAATTTACAAGAAACATATCTGTTACTCTCCGATTCATTAATGTTTCTGTTAATGGTCACAGTTGGCCAACATGCTTTCTTGAGCTTTGTGAAGACAAACTTTTTTTTCCATTCTAGAAAAATCGCTGCTTATATGTGTTTGGTGGCCAGAGATCGAAGACTTATTTGAATGACTTCTTCAGTTATGATGTAGACAGCGATCATGTGGATATCATATCAGATGGCACTAAGAAAGATTCAGGGATGGGTAAGAGTATATATAACTACATATTAATTTCTTCGCCTTGGTACAAATGAGAAATATATTGTTAAGTAGGTGAAAGGCCAGCTTCAGTGTCTTGTGGTATCAGGTTAGCATCCTTAACTAGCCCTACATACCCAAGTAAAAACTCCACAGTATATAGGTTAAACTTATGCCAGCTCTTTTGTCCTTCCTGTCATTTGACACTCACTGTCTTCAGCACAATACAAATAATTGATGTGTGAAACCACGTAGCACCTCCAAAAGAAAAAAATTCACCAAAATAAGAACTAAAAGTATCTCCTTTGAAACTCCAGCAAAGACCAAAAATAAAAAAAAGGCTGAAAAAATAGTTTCCTTTAAACCAGGAAAGGAGAAAGCAATTTTTTTTCCTCTAGTTTTCACCAAGTGAAAGATGCCATAAAATAGAAATAATCTGCTTGGTTTGAGATGCAGAAAAGGAGGTAGGATGCTCAAAGATAGAGAATTGGAGTAGAGGGACAGAGGTTATTTTGCCTGGCAGGAGCTGACTAGAAAGATGAGGCCTGTTGTCCTGTCATTCTTGTACTAAATTATCAGGGAGGGCCAAAAAAAAGTAAGAGGAGGGAGCAAGGCTTCAGTCCTGTTTGGTTCATACCACTATATATGTGAACTGTATACAGTAGGCATAGTTCTGTATAGCAGAAACCTTTAAAACCACCCAAAAGGCATTGTAATGTAACCATAAAGAACTGATTTTGTACCTTTTCCCTTTCAATGACATAGAGAAGAATGATCCTTTTTTTTCCAAAAAGGATTTCTGCATATATAAGCACATCATTTTCCTGTTGCAAATATCCTGATTTTTAGCATATAGCTCAGAAGTTGAAATTTGTGTTGCATTGTGTACTACAGAAGTTATGAATATTTCTCATATTGGGTATATTCAGTCCCCATCTTGTTTTCTCTTCTTCCAGTTACCAAATCCCAGGAAGCTAATTTATCTTGAATTTAGGCTGCCCTCCTTATTTTCATCAGGCTTAATTTTTAGCAAGTAATTTTGCTGAACTTTTGAAGTAAATTATTGATAGTTATGAGTTACTGTTTGCTCATTAATTTAGTTATGCCAATGAGGGAGAAGAGTACCCAAGCTCTTATTCTCTGGAGTCATTTATTTACTTGAGTGCTTCCAAGAAAGAACCAGCTTGTATTGTTGACAGTCTTCTTTATTAAGGTGCCTGCATGTTGTCTGATGCTGCTCTACACACACCTACGCACCGTTTGTTGTCCTTGGAGCTTTCAAAGAATTGATTTTTTTTTTCCATGAAATCGCTAGCATTCTGCCATTTTGCTTTTTTAAAACTGCATTTCTTTATAGCTAGAAGCTTTAAAACATGCGGCTTTAAGCTGACACTTGAGCCTACTTCAGATTTAAAGATACTGAGTTTGTCTTATGGCTGGAGAAGACACTGAGCTCTGCTTCTCAGCAAGTACATTAACTGCAAGGTTTGGTTAAGCAAATGAGACTATAGTATTTAGCCCTCCTCCCCATTCTCACAGGTCCCAAAGCGGTAAAGTAGACTTTGACTTTGTAAGAAAATGACTCATTGGAAATAATTCACGAGTAGATTTTCAGTTTACTGTTCTCCTGTGTATAGAAAATAAACAGATTTGAATGTTTCCCTTGCTTTTGAAAGAAAATGCTAGGATTATTTGCATTTTAACAGGAAGAGAACAAAATGCTTGTTACATTCAGGCAGCAAATGTTGACAGCACTATTTTCACCCCAAAAGCAAGTCTTTTATTGGGCTCTTGTTAAGTAGTGATATACCATTTTGATCTGTATGAACAAAGTGACTCCCTGACTGGTCGCTGTGAAGTTTTAAGCTGCTCAGTGTGATGAGTCAAGTTGAGGATGCCTGACCTAAATGTTCCTTTAAAGTCCCATGATTACTTTCAGTTCCTGGCTTGCATGTGGCATTCAGTTCTATTCTTAGTTGAGCTATTTTGATTTTTACCCTTCCTAAAAGAACTTAATTGTGTATTTGTTTAAAATTTGTTAGAGGAGTGAGAAGACTTTAAAAAAAAAAAAAGTAGTAAAATGGATAGTTAAGAATTATCAGTAATATGGAGTTGTTGCAATGCTAGAATGCTAGAAAACTATGGTAATGATGGTTGGTTTTGCTGCTCTCATCTTCTGGATGAGATATTTATGCTGTTCAGTGTTTCTTTGCTCTTAGTTGTGCCTTTGATCCTGGAACCACTTCCTTGTATAGCTGATGTGTGTGAGAATATTGGGTGATAAGTATCACTTAAATTTTCTTAATTTGGAGTAAAGAACAATAATTTCAGCAAGTTTAGATGTGCTTTTTTCATTTCTGGGAAAAGTTCAAATTTGATCAAGGTACAATTTCTGAAAGATGGGTTTGCACACAGCTCTGTCTGCTAAAAATGTCTCCTGACTTGATCTGCTTTGAACATGGGTAAGCCTTGCAGCTCTTCATGTCTGGCAAATGCCATTTGCCCGTGAGCATGGGTTCTTTCTCCAGCTCATTGCATCTAAAAACCTGGTGCTTTCTCTTAGTTGTTAAAGGAGGGCACTGCAGTGAATTTAGGCCATTAGGGATGGTGCATGATAACTGTTAGGAGCAAGAAATTTGTTAGTTCAGCTAGAGAATGGACAAAATGGTACAGAATAGCAGAGAATGCAACTGTGATAATGAGTCGGATGTGAAGAAAGGCAGTAGCGGTACAAATTGGAGGAAGCGAGTACAGTTGAATAGAGCCTGTGATTGGAGGAGAGGCAGAAATGTGTATGTTGACGAACAAACCTTTTTAGAGTAGTTGTATGCTTTAATTATAAAAAAACCCCACAAACAAGAACACCACCACCAAAAAAAACCAAACCCAACATGCATATGCCAGAGGGTATCTCTGAAGTGTACGTGTGGTCTAGAGATGCCACCAGTATCAGATGTCTTCAAAAGGCTGTACTGACAGCTTGCCTGACTTGCTTAGCACACAATCCATGACTAATCACAGGCAGTCATTTCAGGTCTGAGGGAGATAATGAGAACACTTGTGGTCAAGGCTCCTGTGATAATCCTTTTTGGCCCTGACTCAGGTGGTGTGTCAGAGCTGTCGGTCAGGGGGAGAATTTCCTTCTGCAAGAGAATCAAGATCATCTTGGATCCCTTGGCATTGAGTAACTTCCAAAGCTGAATAAGAACAAGCGTTAAATGTTCTTGTGGCTGCATTTAATGGTGAAGTAGTTCTTATGGGCAAACTGCAAATATTTTTTAGCTACCATTGAAGATCCCATGTCTCTTGCTGGGGCAGGTGCTCATTCCAGATCCAGAGCTGTGCACCTGGCAGATGGGAGATTTCATGGATAAGTACCACGGACAGAGGCAACACAGCCCCGTCCAGGAAATCCTGATTTAAAACAAGACGATGTCAGAAAAACATTAATCAAAATAGATAGCACAGCTTGCTCAACATGGCCAGGATCCAGCTCAGACAAGCAGTCTGAATATCTCATTTTGATCATCTTGTTTGTGACACCTGATGTGTTTTGCCCTTGTTCAGTTTAAGGTCTACCTTGCCAGTGGCCAGCACATGTCTTGCCTTGGAAGCGCTTTGTTTAGTGAGGGACTTTATGTGCTCTTCGTCTTGTGAGGTGCTTCTCTGAACCAATCTCAAAATACTTTCCTCTGACAGTGAAGGTGAGGAGGAGAGCAGGCAGTCACATAATCCTCAGATGCTTTATAGAGATGACGTAGCAGCAGAATTCCATTCAGATTTACTAACCGACTTGTTTTTACCAAAATCTCGTGTTGCTTGGGAGAGAACCGAGCGCTGGACATTGGGTTACTGCTTTTTCAACATGACAGCCGAACTGTTCAAATGGTTGTCTTAGCTGCTCCTTGGCTGACTGCCAAACGCAGTCTCATCATGAAAAATCCAAGAGGATAATCATTATCTTGCTGTGTCAACAGCTGGCCTGCATGCTATCTCTATCACTCATCAAGGTTTGCTCCATTAAAGTTCGTGCGAGGTGCTGCTTCAGTTTTATATGGATTACAAGTTGTGGTATGGAGTAATTTGCTGACCTATTGGTTTTTAAAAATTAATCTGTCGGGGAGGTGCCAGGCTCTGGTGAACAACAATATCCATGTGATCTAGCTTCCTCCAGTTTTTTAATCACGAGGCTTCACAAGGAGGGAGGATACTTGTGAATCACTTGTAGTGGTATTAGGAGTAATGTATTCTGAGGGTTTCATAACTTAGGTGGCACTAAAAGGCTGTCAATTAATTTGCTTCTCTTAATTATCCTTCACACAAATCCTTCAGAAGTGGTCTGTAGTCTACAAGTTTTATATAATTGTTTTGCCAATGCTGTGTTTCAAAGCATGTTTAAAAACATGCTATAGCATACCCTTGAATGTGAGAGATGAGATTTAATTTCCAAACTTCTGTCTAGTACTGTGAGAACCACATCTGTGAACTCCGATTTACTGCTTTGCAAACTCTGCCTTTGTGTAAAAGCTCTGTTTTCTTGCTTAGATACTGGCAGCAGCCAACAGTGCGCTTGAAATAACTAGCTGTTTGCACATACAAGCCAAAAAATATTCAGCTTGCTTAAGTGATCACTGTGATCAAATAAATGCCAGTAAGTAGGGACTGTGGTAGTGAGAACATCTCTGTTTCACAATTAGGTGTCACTTTTGTAAAAAAGCTTTTCCAATGTGTTACATTTAAATGGAAATTATATTGTGCAGGGTTATGCAGCATCTTATCAAAGCTTTCTCAGGAATTTCTACTTCTTTATGTAACTAGCTGCTAACTCAAGGCCTGTGTGGCTGAATATTGTTTTCAAATATTGAGGCCATGAGCTTTTTATTTTTGCTATATAAAAATAAATGAAAATGTTAAGTTCTGGAGAGAGGATTCAGACTTCTTGTTCTCAATTAGTTACTGTCCTTCTACCCTGTACTGGTTAATGAGATTACAGGGGGAAAAAAAATGCAGCGGCACAAGAAAAGGATTCACCATCTACTAGACTTTTTGGGATTTTATTGTGTTTAGTAATTTCTCTCTACAGCTTTTCTCCTTCAATCAGTAATGCATTGTCATAGGAGCCAAGTTAATATCGCATAGCGACAGGCCAGTGCTGTGTTCAAAACAACCAGGGCTAAGTCCTCAGTTGCTGCTTTATGTCCTTCGAGTTGTCTGCCCACAGCTGACCTGAGTGATCACCGGGCTTGAGAGGCACTCTGAATGGTGTGAAATTGGTGGAGATTTGCTCCAAAGCTGATTTACGTTTATGCAAAGAAGTGGAAGAGCAAGGGAACTTCCATGGAGCCATTCTTAGGACTTTATGCACCCCTTGGATCTAGTACATTGCAAATAATAGTTCTTGCAGTGCGCTGGCATTACTGCGTCTGATTCTCACCCCTTGTTCATGACTTTTTACTCTGAGTCTTAAAATTTAAAAAATATATCCTAAGCAATCAGTTACTGTCACAGGTTCAATTCTGTCTCCCATGGAGGATTAAATTTCCTTCCCAATATACGCTAAATTTGTTAGCTAAATATCACAAGTACTTTTCACAAGTTTACAGCCCATGTCCCTCTCTAATATGCTGACCGCAATCATTTGAATTATATCCAGCATTTACTGCAAGTCTGCTGCACTTGCAGATTATGAAGCTCTCTTACCCCCTAGTGGAAGTGTTTGTCAGTCGTGAGGATTTTATGTAGCCCTTTTGCTCTGTCAAGGATCAGACTTCCTTGGTAAACATCTTTTTGTCGTTTCTGTTGTGTTTAAAATATCACAGCATCTCCCTCTTACTGTGTAGTAGCTTGCCTTATTTTCTATTTATTTTCAGGGACTTGTTTACCAAATTTGTGTTGTCTTGTGGTTTGTGGGGGTTTGTGTTTGTTTTGTTTTTTTAATCAATTACACTTAACTTTCTAGTTCTGTCTTCCTCTGCAAAAAACGAGATGTCAATGTTGTCTAGCCCAAGGCACTACTTAAATATGGTTTCTACACAGTTGCTTAGATAGGTCAAAGTTTATGTAAGTTGTTCCCTATCTTAGGCCCTTACTAAATGTAGGATATATATATTTTTGATAGATTATTTTTCTAGACATTCTGCATTTCAAACAGTCTGAAGAAAAGATTGATTTACAACTGAGGGAAGCCTGAAATTACTTGACCTGAATTTGGTTTTGATTGCAGTTGCTGTGGATAAATCCTATTCTTACTATCAAGTAAAAAAACAAGAGGCCCTGAACTTTGGCGGCTTTTCCCTCCATTATTTAAATAATTTCAGCTTCAGGAAGTTGAGCATAAGCTAGATGCAAAACTCATTTAACACTTCAGGAGGAGGGATGGGACTTCCATAGACAAGTTTTGTATGCTTTCTGTATCAATGGTAATATAGCAACCTTATTTCTCATGATTATAATAATTTTAATTTCAATGAGCCTGAGGTATTAATGCTCTGAAGATTTGCATGCTTTTTTTCTAAAAACCTGGCATGGTCTTGAATGTTCAAAGCAGTAGATAGGGTTGCAAAGACATTTTCCATGTACATTAGAATTGCTGATCAACTTTAGATGGCTCTTCTGGCAGACATGTCTTAAATATGCCTTGAATTTAATCCTTTTGGGTCAATGATTTAGTCCTTGACTATGCAAGCAAACACATTACATGATACTTTTCAAAAATTAACAATATTTAGTCTATAATTGTCTTTTTGTTCTCAATTTCCTTATTGGGTGACTTTCACAGTACTCATTAGTCTTATTTAAAAACTTCCTTGTGGTCTGTAGCTAAAACAAGGTATGTAGTTGTTGTTGTGCCAGCATTGTTCCCTGCTTTTGTTCTCTGCTCTGCCACCCATTTGCTTACAAACTGGATTAATTTTCCTTTGAAACTTTGTGGCAAAATTGGAGGTCAAAATAGGCAGGCTTATGCTGATGAGGGCTCCAAAGGCTCTGCCTCCTGCTTTTCTGTAAAACCATAAGCAAGGATTTTGTCGACAGGACTCTGACTTATCTGATCTTTTTATTTTTTAAGAAATGTTTGGGTTTTTTGGCTTTACTAAACATTTCAGTAGGGGCTTAAACTGTAGAAAACCAAATGCTGCTCAGATTTTTTTTAATTGATGTTTATTACTTTCTTGGCCTACCAAATGAGAAGAGACAAGTAGGAGACCAAAACCTATTACAGAATGGGCTTGCAAAATACCATTTTGTGTGTTCTTAAACAGCAATATTAAATGATTTATTAGTGTAGGGCTTGTTTTCTAGTCTGTGTGTGTGGTTTGCAGTTAATTGCAGGGAAGAATTTGCAAAATACAAGAGTTCTGAGAATTTTTCATGCCAAAATCTTGATCGAAGGCCAGGAACCTTTACCAGCCTTTGTAAACTGACCCAGAAAGAGAAATGAGACAAACAGGGTCTGTAAACAAAGATCACGTGCTCTTCACAAATACATTTTGGAAGGATGGTTGCCTAGGGAAACAGGAAATGGGGAATTATACAACAAACAAAAAGGACTGCCAAACAAATTTGCTGACCTTTTTTTCGGGGAATTATGATGAAAACTGCTGGAATCCTCAGTATTTCACCATATTTCTAAATCTGAAGGTGGAACAGAAGAATAGCTTGGTAATTATACCACAACTATTTAGAAAATACAAAAAACTTCCTTGACATCTTTGTCCTAAAGGAAGCAATGCAAGGTTGCGAGCTATGTAATCTTGAGTTCATCTTGAATTTTTTTGAGTTTCCCAGCTTTTGCAATTAAGCCTTTTGGAATCAATGGTTCCTTTTACAGATGAGATAACAAAGTCACTCTATTCATATCTGTAAGGGTCATCTAGCTCTATCTTTAGACAGTTTAATCCTCGTTTCTGAGCTGGTTGTCTCCCAGATAGCTCTGTCCATACCTTTTACTAGGAAACAGCAGCTCTCAGAATGTTTTTTGTGCTTCCATGAGTCACAAATAGGAAGGGAAGAAGAGAATTTGCATTGGACTTGTCCTTAGCAGGGAAGAAGTCAGCCTCTGGATGAAGTTTCTTCCTCTCCTCCCTCTCACCCTGCTTTGGAGGGCATGTGCAAGAAGCAAATTGTTTGCTTGACAACTCCTGCATGCCTCCTGTTTTGAGATGTGCCATTTCAGTTTTAAGTTGTGGTAAATAACGAGATCGCTGTGCAGGAGAGGTCACAGAAAATACCAGCTTGGGATCACTCAGTCCATTGGGCTTGGTTTTATGTGAAAGATGAAGAAGTGAAAGTAATTAAGTATAACCCATTTTCTTCTTTTTAAGATGCTATTTATCCCAGAATACTGAAGAGGTAGTTATGTGAAATCTCATGCTTGTACCATAGATATTAGAAAATCTGTTGAATTGCAGGGGGAGGGAAATGCATTTGTCTGGTGCTTGGATCCCTTCCTGTGTCCTCCGTTGTTTTCAGTGTGTAACTTTTTTTTTTTTTGTCAGTTCCAATGACAGGTTTCACTCAAAGGGCTACCATTGATCCAGAACTGAATGAAATCCATGTCTTGTCAGGGCTCAGTAAAGATAAGGAGAAGCGGGAAGAGAATGTAAGGAATTCCTTCTGGATTTATGACATTGTGAGGAACAGCTGGTAAGTCAATGAAAGAGGTCCTATTTCTAGCATCTACAATGACTTTCTTTAGAAAGCAATCCTACACGATCCTGTCTCCCAGGTAACTCTATAACCTCTTATAACCATGGAATGGTAAAGTTGAAGACAACTGAATTCCCTTGAGGCACATTTTTTTCCCATAGTCTTTAGAGACACCATGGCAATAAGCCAAATGGAGGCAAATCGTGTGAACTTCTTTATTGGAGGCAGGTGGAGGGGATGAGGGGAGGTAAGCCATTATAAGAAGTTTTTCCTGTAGGAAATGTTCAAGGCCAGGATTCATCATCAGTGCAGAAAATTCAGTCAAATGTAAGTTGTTAATAGCAGTGTACATGGTACTAGTTATTAGAAACTAAGGAAACTGGTCTGCTGTATGAACGGTGATGGAGAAATCTTCATGCTAGATCTATCAGCTCTTTTCAGGCTGCATGCAGTGGTACTTCAGGTCGCTGCTAGATCCAGTATTTTGAGGAAATATCTGCTCGACTGTTTGCTGTATTGTATTTGGTAGCTGGTTGCCACTGTCCCTTTCCAGAGCTGGCAGCGTTTTTTTGTATTCAAGGTCTCGTCTAATGTGGGGCCAATCACTTTGAAAGGTGTGAATGTTGTTTTTAAAAAATAGATTTTCAGTTATCACTTAAGTCTGCTTGGAAATCAGTAATTGAAATAGTAGCTTTGCTGTAGTCTGTGACCTTTGCTATAGTCTACTGTGTCCAAGATGGTATTCTCCATAATGAAAAATGCATCATGCTGACAATTCTGCTAGCAAATAGTGCAACATCTAAAGATACTTCCAAAGCTCATGATGTAAAATTTTCTAGAATTTTTTTCCTGTTTGTCTTGTGATTGAGGACTGTGTTCAGCCAAGATGACCTTCTCTGATTGTTGGATGGGTTTCTTTGTAAAGCTAAGAATGGGGATAGGACAATACATAGAGAAGTAAGAAAATCTTTGGTGTTATCTGCCAAGCAGTTCAAATTGACATCATTTGTACCTTATAGCCTTCCTATAGGTACTACTAATCCTTGCTTACTGCCTTGTATTTCAGGTCTTGTGTCTATAAGAATGATCAAGCAGCAAAAGAGAATCCAGGTAAAAGCCTTCAGGAAGAGGAGCCCTGCCCAAGGTTCGCCCATCAACTGGTGTACGATGAGTTGCACAAGGTATGAAGGTCCAGATACATATATAGTGATTTTTTTTTTTTAGTCTTACTGCTCTTAAGGTGTACTTGCTTTTTCAAAGATGGTACAAAGAATATAGCTTTTTGTATAGTGTTAATGTTTGGGTTAATGTGGTGGGTACCTTTCATTTAACTTACTATCATCTTTTGAAATAAGGTGCTAAGCTACTTTTTATGTCAACGCGAAGTAGACATGGTAGCTCCTAGTTGAAATCAAAATGCAGACAATGGGATATAGTATATCTCTACAAAGTTGTCAAGTGGCTAGCTCCTAGCTGTTTTCATGCTTGAGAACACTTGAAACTTCGTTCGTTATCCTCAGGGACTTAATCTCACAACCTGTTAGTAAATAAATGGTCACAGATTGTTACCAACATTTCTAGGAGAAAGTGCGTTTGAATGAACTAATCACTGTTAAGAATCTGCTCTAACAGAGGTGCCTTACTTTGCCCTGCATGTCAGAAGCAACTGTCATTCTTTAGCACTATCTGACTTTAATGGACATATTCATGCTTAAGTAGACTTAAAATTGTTTATAGTGTACATGACTGCTCAGTAAATTTAGGACTTTGTGCATATTAACCAATAAAGCACAAACCATGGATTAGGTTACCGTAACTTCATTAACGTATGAATTTAAATTACTGTGACACACTTACTTAACCTTTCACAGATATTTTGCAATTACAATAAACTTTTTCTAAAATTGCTTTTTAGTCTGAAACAGTCCGGACTGAAAAAGACAAATATATTTTAGTCTTATCATTCCATGGGATGTTAATCAAATTTGGGAAACCCAATTAGTCCAAAAGTTTGGGGATAAGGGTGATTTTAAAGAGGAATAGGTGCAGCTTCTCTAGGGAGAACTTGTATTTTTTGTTGTCTTCACCAACTTTAATGATAGATTGTGAATACTGTTCTGCCTTTAATGGTTTACTTCTGAGTGTAAGGTACCTTGAGATTGAGAGTAGCGTTTTGTAAGTTATTGTGAAGGCTGCTAAGTCATGGCAGTTGCCCAGCTTTATCTGAAGAGCTATTTCATGTGCTTGTTTTGAAGAGTCTTATTTTTAGAAACCTCTGTTCAAATGACCTTTCTAAACTCCTCTGATATAAATAAGGAGAGCCTACATCAGTGGGATGCAGAATACATTGTTTTGAGTGATTATTTTTAAAGCTGTAGAGAAAGGTAGCCTGTTGGACTTCTTGAACCTCAGCATTTAAAGACCCTTTGTGGCATGTTTAATATCAACAGTCCGGAGTCTGAAATACCAAACGATGTGAAGAAATAAAAAAGTGAAGAAATAAACAGTCCTTTTTAACACTTCCACTTTTCTTGAGATTTGCCTTTCTCCATAAATCTAGCCTTGCATTTCAAAGGTGTTGTATCCTGAAACTATTAGAATGGCTGTTAGACTACTTCATTTGAGCTATTGTGAGCAAAAATAGATTTTACGTACAGGTATATTTAGTATGTCCATGATTGGCATCTCAGGATTGCTAGAGTCTTTGAAGACAATCACAGTAATGGTTGCGACTTCTGATTCTAGATAAGTTTGGTGTTTTCTTCCTCAGTTCTTCCTAACATTACAGTTTTGGCTTTTTTGTTTTACTCTTTATTCAGTTAGCTTTTTCCTTTCTGCCCATGTAGTGTATTGAGTGTCTGGCAGCTAGACTGCTGTATTGAGGCAAGACAAATCTGCCCTTCTAGAGACCATGGAAATATTTTTCTCTGCAAGTCAGATGAAGGCTCTGTAGAGTTTATGGGACATGTGGGGACACAGGCCTGCTGGTCATCTCCCAAGATTATGCTGGACTGGGCTTGTTGTCACTTGGAGCATCTTTAGGACTTCCCACTCACTCTGTCAGTGGCCCTTGTCTTTGGGGAAGATAATGGTCTTCGCTGACTCAAGGCAAAGGCTGCTCGTCTGAACTGTGGTGCTTTAGTAGTGCAGCTTCACCGACAGTGCTCTGACCAGAACCAGAGCATTAGTCTACAAAGTCCCTTTTTTCTGAGTCTTCCTAACAAGCATAAATGTTTCTTCTTCAAAGAAAATGCATGATTGGTGGAGTCATCTCTCAATTATATGGGTGTAATCTGCTCATCCCCAAATTAGAGAAAGGCTTAATACAAGTTCCTTAATTTAGCCTCTCGTGACAATGAGAATTTGGAGTCTTTGAGGAAAAGATTGGAGAAGAGGTTGGTAATCTATCAGTTTAAGTATTGTTTGCATCAAGTATTTTGAACTGGCTAAAAAGACTTGGCTCAGATCCTTCTTTTCTGCTCATATTTTGGATGCTTAAGGATTTATCACGCTCATAGGTTTTTTCTAAAGAAAGAGATTGCATGGTTTGTGGCTGTATGCTTATAAATGTCTCAGGAATCTGCTAGAGGGAGGTGCTAACAGTGCAGCTTTTTCTTATTTTAAAATGTAAGCAGTTTAAGAGAACTTTCTTCATCTCCTAGGGGACAAAGTAAGGCTAATAATAAGATGGAGCAGCTTGTCTAAAAGGCAGTTTTCTCCCTCCAGAATAAATCTCTACGAAGATGCTGACATAGTAAATAGTCTTTGTTTAATGGATGTACACAAACAATCAACTTTTTGATCTGCCTCTGATTTGCTTAGGTTCATTATTTATTTGGAGGGAATCCTGGTAAGTCTTGCTCTCCAAAGATGAGATTAGACGATTTCTGGTCTCTGAAGCTCTGTCGACCTTCAAAGGAATACCTGCTAAGACACTGCAAATACCTCATAAGAAAGCACAGGTATAGAAACAAAAGGTGTTTTGCAATTTTCTTTTCCAATGTGTTTGGTGGTTTGTTGTGGGGTTTTTTTGGGGGGGTGTTGGGGTATTTTTGTTCTGTTTTGTTTTTAAGTTGCTAAAACTTGAATATTTTGTAAATTTTTGGCAGATGTCACTTCATTGATTATATGATCATCTTCAGGTTTCTTGATTATTTTTAATTTTTAAAAAATTATGTTAATAATAAAAAGCAGTGGGGCAGGGCTAAACTACAAAATTAACTTCATTCTGGTTTTACTGTGTTATTCTAAAACTAGAAAAATCTGGCTGTTGTGTGGGGAGTTGTGGGGAATTTTTAGATTCCCTTTTCACTCTGCTGTTCATCAACATGTGTTTTGGTACTGTCACCTCCCAAGGAAATGGAGAATGTTTCTGAAACACTGTGCTAGGAGATAGTAACAGCTCTGAAGGATGCTAATGAAGTCTGGGGGCTGGATGCCTTTGCACATCTGAGACTCAACTGTGGTGAGGTCATCAGAGTTTCTCATTCAGAATCACTTGAAAGATCTCACTTATGCAGAATTCAGCTACACTGTGATGCTTCTTGCACTCTGGATACTTCAGAGCTGCTTTATATTTGCTATTTAGGGCAACAGCTTTTCAAAATCAAGCTTATGGTGTTGCCTTAGGCAAGAAATTGCAGCAGCGAGACAGCCTTTCAAGACCCAGCAAATTATTTGAAGCCAATAAATAGCTCTTTCTGCATTCTTGGTGAGAATACTTTGTTATCAGGTTCTGCCAAGAGTTGGAGGTCAGTTTTTACTGATGGTGTTTTACTTCTGAGGCAGTAAGCAAATTGCTATACTCAACTCATAATCACTGTGGCTGGATGAGGCCTTTTGCGGGTTAGCCACGCAATAGATGTGAATACCTACAAGAATGAATAAGGTCTTGCCCAGTAATCTGGGAGGTTTATTAAACCCACATGTGGTTGTATGCAAATGCAGCTGTACAGCCTCCAGAGACAGCTCTGGATTACTTGTTTTTACTTGCTTAAACTGCACTCAAAGGAAATGTTGCTGCATATTGTCTGGCAGAAGTTTGGGGTTTATGCACCATGCTCCCATTTATTGGGGTCCGTAATGAGGGAGCCAAACATGACCAGCCAGGGACTGGTATGATGGGTGCTTTGCCTCTCGAGTTCGTGTGCCTCTCAGGGCTGGAGCTGAACTGCTGCAGAGTCGCTTGGCTGCCTGTTACCTGCATTCCATCAAGCTCTAGGTACCAGAACAGGTACTTGGCTTGCATACACAGCAAATCCACTGCATCAGCTGGAGTCCTGTTTGGCCAATTAGCTTGTTTAGTACCAGTCAGCCATAGTGGAACTAAGCTGGCTAGGCGTAGAAGAGCAAGGTGTTAGTGGTTCCACTTATTTCAGGTCCTTCAGAAGCTCTCCTGGACCATGGCAATATCATCTAAGAATATCTGTGTGAATGTTTGGAAGAAATCATGCTTAAATACCCAAATGTCATGTTCATCAGGTAATAGGCATAGTCTTAGCGCTCCATACACTGGCTAAACGACCTACATCTTTAGACAATTTCAAAATTTGGGCTACACATGTCCACTACTGTATAAATAGCCAAGTTGATGACCCAAATAAAAAAAATAACAATATGATTAAATCTATTCAGTGTGACTTCTTTCAGTTTGACAAGCTATACTCTGCTAAAAGTAACTGAAATATATTATGAATAAAATACGATGTGTTCCTGTAAGGCAGTTGATACAAGGCAGTTAAGTAGGGTCCTCATCTCTGGAAGAATCCAGAATTGTCTGAGCTGTTTTCCTGGGAAGGCTTAATACTGTGTATTGGTGATGGAGAAGGCAACAGAGTGCGATACTCCACTTGGCAAATAGGTGATAGGAGAAAAAGATAGGTAATTTAAACCTCATCTTTTCTAGGCTTATGCATCCAACTCAGTGCTGCAGGGAAGTAGCTTTGCTCACTGATGGTGCTGAGCCTAGGGTCATTTTCCAAGAGCTATATTAACTTCTTCAGGGAATTCACAGAAGTTACAGTTTCTGTTCATTAAAAGAAAATGAGAAAATAATGGTGGTAGTGCACAGGATTTTTACGTACATGTACTCTTTCTGAAGGTGGGATATTAAGGCGCAGTATTCATTGAATCTAGGGGTTTTCACCCCTGTTGTCCCTTTTTCCGTTGTCTGGCAGAAGTGGGGAGCGTTCTCCATCCCTGTACTTTTAGTTGCACTTCTGCACAGTCAGGAACGTAAATATCCCTGGGACTGAAGTGCTGAAGGCTTGCCTGTGTCTGAACTGTGCTCCTCACATGAGGTGCTACTCATACCTTACTTTATTTGTGGAAAACCAACTGTACTAAGTGTTTTATATTTATGTATTAAGAAGTTATTGTACATATGCTTTTGAATATTTTTAGTAAGAGTGTAATACTTTGCCCTTGTAACTCCCTTACACCCCCCAAAAACCTCTGTGTTTCAGTCTGGCTTGAAAGCGTGCATGTACTACTGCAAGTAGGAGGCTGAGCTGCCATTAACATCGTGTTGTTTGGAAATACTGGGCTGAAGGTTTTGTTAGATGGGTTTTGCTCTTTGTAGAAATAGTAGTACTTAGTCCTGAAGGAAATGGCTGTGCTCAAATTTTCTGTCTCTTTGCAGATTTGAAGAAAAAGCTCAGACTGACCCTCTTAGTGCACTGAAGTACTTGCAGAATGATTTGTATGTAACCGTGGATCACTCGGACCCTGAGGAGACAAAAGAGGTAATGATGACCGATCCCTGTCTTAGTTATAAAAAAATGTAAACTGTGTTCTCATGTGGAGTTTTGATCCTCTTAAGCCTTGTTTTTATTCATTTTGAAAAAGCTCTACAGGTGCATGACACTTTGCTATATCATGTATTTCTCTGCTCTAAAGATCATAGTGCTTTAGAAGCAGTCATTTTATCTGGAACTGCAGTTGTAAAATAGCTTTTGTACTCATAATAGTGAAGACTAGGCCTTTGTTTTAATTCCAACGTACTGGTGTGTATTTTGGGAGCTTTAATTGAAATGTAAACTCGCTGAAATGTCACGAGTCTGTAGTTGCTTGTGTGGTAGAAAGTGAATAGAAACTCTTACTCTGCCTTTTGATTTGTCAATATTAAGTAGCTCTGGGGGAGGGCAAGAGGTTTTTCTCTAGATGATAAGTATTTCTGCAAGTAGATTGTATATATACATTGCTTGCTAACCTTAAAATCTTATTTCCTCTGACTTTTGAATATTATCCAGTAGGCATATTCTTTTATTTGTTCCAGAAATTTGTTCCCATTTCCTGTTTTGATTCCATTACTGCAGTATGTGTTGCTTTACAAAAAGGCTTAAAGAAATAGTGAAAAGTGTCAGATAAGGTGGTCGATTTGACTCTGCCATTAATTTCCACATGGAACTTGCAGCAGCCAGCTATGGAATGAGGAAGAGGAGGCCATGGTTCTTACTCTCTTCTTCCATTAATGACTTTGGAGGTGATTCGACAGCTTCTTTTATAAAATTGCGATAGGAGAATGGGTGCTTTTACTCCAGGCTGAGTCTCTGGATTAAATCACTTGATCTGGTAGTTTTAACTTGTTACTGTACGTAAAGAAAAGATCATTATACGGGCACTAGAAGCTTTTGCGGGAGAACATGTTTGTTGAATATGCACAGTACAGAATTGTAGGATTAGAAGAATCAAGAAAAAAAAAATTTACTCATATTGGGATCTTGGAACTGATCACATTTGTCAAATTCTGGTTAGCATTTATAAACATCTGATCCAGTAAAACATTTAAGTGCTGTGCCTGTAAGGTTTCTGTTAGATGGTTTCTCATTTAAATTGTCCCATATCAAGTAATTTCACATGCTTTCTAGCCGTTTTAGCATAGGAAAGACAAATAATAGATAATGCTGATTTTCTTCAGCTAGAAAAGGAGATAATTTCCCCCCCCCATGCAGCATGCATCAAGGGGGCTCAGCCCGATTATGCCCCATCTTCCCAGTGTAGTAGCACTTTCCTCTTCCTATTTGAACCTGTAATAACCTATAACATATAACAACCATTCTGATGCTCTCTTCTCCTGTTCTTCTCCCTCCCACCCGCTATAAGACCATGTCCTGTGTTCTCTGATCTCCCTTTTTCTCCATGTTGTACCTGTGTGCTGGTAGCCCCATCATGCCTGTGAAGGCCATGTCTCATTTTGGCCAGTTACTCCTAAAGAGATCTTGCATCTCATGACTGGCTGTGCCTTTTTATTGCCTGAACAGAAAACATTTGTGGTGTAATCAGCAAGCTCCTCTCCTTTTAGTTCATGCTGGCTACTGTCACTAGCAGACCAAAGGAACTGCCATAAAAGCTGCCCATTGTCCGCATCTGACATACGAAATCCTTTAATAGTCTACATTTGATTTTCCCAGTTCAGGGTGTAGTATTTAACTTGTCCACCTTGTAATAATGAAGAATTTACCTGACTGCATGGGCTCTTCTCAGATTTTTGGGGAAAAGTAGTAGCTTTATCATACAAGATAGAAATAGAATAAAAAGTTTTTAAAAAAAAAATCATCCCTTTTCGTAGAGCATACTAGTGTTCTGCACACTAATGATGTAGCATATGAGCTTCGGTAGCTCAGTCCAGCTGAGTGAATATGTTGTGAATCCTTTCTCTGCAGGCCTAATGCCTGATCTGAACAAAATTCAGTAGCTTCTGTCCATCATGCTGGTCCATCTGATAACGCACACCATTCAGCAGAATTCAAGCTTCTGTTCCAGTGGTCTCCTAAAATCATTTAACAATTTCTGGGAGGCTTTTTTGTTTGGGTTTTGGTGGTGGTTTGTGGGTTTTTTTTTTACTTGTTTGTGGTTTGGTTTGGGGTTTTTTTTGTTTGGTTTGTTTTTGTTTAAATTGTGCTGGTCAAAAAGCTTTAACTTCCAAAGCTTTTTATGCTGCAGCAGATCTGCCAGCTATATGGCATAGAGCCAGCTACTGGGCTGGTACTGACCGGGTGTATTTCCAGTTGACGTCAATTTACCTTCCGTTTATCACATTGAGTTGGCTTTTTGCTCTGGCATTACATCTTCAGATTGCTCTTCTGCTTTCCAAAGGACTGACGCAGGCTCTTTGGATTTTGTATCAAATTTCAAGCACCAGTTTGTGTATCTCAGCCCAGACACCTACATATTCTGTCTTTATTTGTAGTTGAGATCGTCTTAATTAATATCAAAGGCTATATATCTGATTGGCTTGCTTCGTGCTGGCTACAGTGATTGAATGTTGTACGGCTTCTTAGTGTGGCAAACGTTAAGGGAATTGGTTTCTGCCTGTTCATTTCTCTATCTCTAGGGCAACTGTTAAATTTGAGAAGGACCAAGCTGAATAAGTTTATCCCCAACTTTGTGCTACAGTTCTCTTGGAGACTGGTCTATATGGTTTCATGTTTTATGGATTGAGATATGGGTAGTGTTATCTAATATTACAAGTAGAATTTCACTTTGAGGTAAGGCTTACTGGCTTTGTAATAGAAGTAATTTCTTCTAACTTAGGCAAGTCTCTTCAGCTGTTTTGAGTTGGATGCCAAAGAAAATAAACAGACTGTTCTTGAAACTTTGGTGTTAGTAACCAATTTTGTTTAAAGTAGCATGAATGATTGATAGTAGAAACATAGCCCCAGACTTTTGTTCCTTTGTTGTGAATTTTAGGGATGTTAATAGGATTATAGTTTTATTTCCTTTTTTATTATTCTAAAGTGAAGTAGATGCCTGCAAGTAACAGGTATTGCATGGGTGCGTGTTATAGTAGCCACAGGCTATATGCCAGCTCTGTCTCTGCTGTTCCCCATAAATGCAGATCCAGTTCTCTTTAACTGTGATTCTGCTTGAAATAGCTTAAAACTCTTCAGTTAGTTCAGTGTTCTCTGGTCAGTGAATCTTTATTTACTGGCTGCAGATTAATAGCTCTGACATTGTATGTAAAGGAGGATAGATCCCCAGAGCACATGGAAGTTTGTGTGTTCTAGTTCATGCAGAGGTTGAGATCGTATAAAAGACTGGCATTTGTTGGTGTAAAAATTTCTGGTGGCATGGATGTTCTTCTGTTTCATATACACACAGATGTGCATCTGGTGGTAGTTTACAGCTAGAGGCTTTTAAAGATAAAAGGATGGTCAAGATAGAAGATCAAAATGAATTCTAAGTTTTGTATTTGTGTCAAGGAAAAAACAGGTGCTATTAGAGCACAGAAACATCAGTAGATCACATACAAGGCTAAAGGTGATTTCCTTGAACACTGGAGTAACATACCCAGAACTTGGCTGCTGCTTAGCGGGCTATAGAAGAAATAAAGATGATATAAAAAGTGCCCAGTGCTGTCCAAGTAAAGGGGAGTAAGATGACTTTGTATGTTGAGATTGAGATTCAACTCCTGGTGAAGCTCAATCCCATGATCTCTGTATAAAACAGATACAAAGTGCAAGTAAAACTTCAAGTATGTTTTTCTTGGAGCATGGTAGAAGAAAGAGCAAGAACCTGGAGGCCAGTTTGAGGCCTGACTAGCTTGTAGACTGAGGCTGGAGGCCCCTGTTCAAGGCTGCTTCATACTTTCCATTCCTAAGACCTTGTCTTTAATAAATTTGCCAGATGAAGCCAGCGGGGCCCCGAAGTATTGTTTGAGTCTGCATTAGACTGATATTTCTGGGAAAGTTGAAGCCCAAATGGGAAAAATAGTTCTAGGAAGGAGCTAAGAAAAGCGTGCTTCTCTTCTTCGTGTCCTGCTGTGATTTTTTTTTTTTTTTTTTGGTAAAGCTTCAGAGTCTGAGTGCTGCAGGAGCAGAGGCTTTGGAGCCAAGGAGCCTTTACAAAAACAGCTTTCAGCCTTCCCAACTTTAGCTAGTGATGGCTCTGTCCTCAAAGAATTTGAGCCTCTCTTTGCTGCTTTGAGCCTACACTACGAGGCACCATCCCAACACAACTGGTCAAAGCTGAGAAACTGTTTTACACTGTGATCCGAGCACTTGCCATATAGACATTACAGAGGAGGAATTATGTCTGATTCACACAACCTGCTGGGTATCCCAAAAAGGAGTTACTTATTCCCCCTTAGAGTTAACCATTTCATTTGTGCAAAAGGCAGAAGCGTGCAGTAAATATACTAAAACTTGTATTGGCTGCCACGGGGCAGAATTGCTTTTTTTGCTGTAGGTAGAAAGTAGATAAATTACACATAACTGATAAAAACACAGTAACATTGGAAACATGAAGGTCATAAGATGGAAAATGCCAGAATTAATATTACCTATGTAGTCTTAATTTGGCCTGTCTCTGAATGTGGTTGATTATATTAGATTATATAACTAATCCACCGGATATGTAACTAATATAGCTTCATGTTGGTTAACCATATACATTTATCTCTGAGGAACCCCTGCCTCAGTTCAGAAGGAGGGTTGGATCTCTGAGAGAAAAGTTAATTGTGTAATGAAGAGAACTGTTGTCTTTTGAATGGACGCTTAATTTGGAATGGATGAAGCCAGTGAGCCAGAGGGATTGTCAGAAGAAAGTGGGTGGTGGTGTGATTAAAGCATTGGACGCTTCTGCTGGATAATTGAATTCTGGTCCTGCCTTTGTAACACAGTTGCTGTGTGACGTTAAGCAAATCTTTTTTTGTAGGTGGTCATTAATTGGGTCTTTCATTCTGGTGCCTGTTGGGAGAGAGCTGAGGTGTGATTTCCTTGAGGGCTTTGCTCTTCTGGCTGCAAGTGAATTCAGAAGCTGCTGCATAATACTATGTATTTTGAAAAAATCAGATTCTGGTAGTTTCAAACAGGGGACCCAAAATTAATCAGTTTGAAGTGCTGTCTGTTATGATAACAATTAATATGATAGAAAAAACTGAAGAAGTTAATTCCTTCTTTAGAGAAGAGTTTAAACTTCATGAAGAAAACACTGTATTGGATATACGCTGTGAATGGTATGTGGGAAACGTGGTCTTGAGTAAGCAGTAACCTTTCTATGGATTGGAAAAAAAGTAGGGGTACTTTGGGAGAACATTATACTGTTAGCTGGCATTGTAATGCAAATGCAGAGTGAACCAGGTTAGGCTCAGTGCTGTCCAAAACTGATGTTCTTAACTTACGTGCTTTACTTTTCTATCAGAAAGTGCTTTTTAAGTGTGAGATGATACATAAATTTTCAGAACAAACAACAAACCTCCAGGTTAACTGAAGTGTAGTGTCATCAGTGAAGAAGGAGTGTCCTGGTTTCAGCTGGGATAGAGTTAACTGTCTTCCTAGTAGCTGGTACGGTGCTGTGTTTTGAGTTCAGTATGAGAAGAATGTTGATAACACTGATGTTTTCAGTTGTTGCTCAGTAGTGTTTAGACTATAGTCAAGGATTTTTCAGCTTCTCATGCCCAGCCAGGGCACCTGACCCAAACTGGCCAACAGTGTATTCCATACCATGGGACGTCCCATCTAGTTTAGGAACTGGGAAGTGGGGGGCAGGGATTCGCCACTCGGGGACTGGCTGGTTGTCGGTGGGTGGTGAGCTATTGCCCTGCGCATCATTTGTACATTCCAATCCTTTTATTACTACTGTTGTCATTTTATTAGTGTTATCATTATCATTATTAGTTTCTTCTTTTCTGTTCTATTAAACCATTCTTATCTCAACCCAGGAGTTTTACTACTTTTCCCGATTTTCTCCCCCCTCCCACTGGATGGGGGGGGGAGTGAGTGAGCGGCTGCGTGGTGCTTAGTTGCTGGCTGGGGTTAAACCACGACAAGGAGACAAGATGCTCCTTCCCCACAAAGCTGGAAAGAAACTCCTAGCTGAAAATCCATCGTGCCTAGCGCAGTTGAGGCCGGAATACTTGGCAGAGAGTCTTTTAAACGAATTTTTGGTCTCAGTTCAGCGAGATTCTAGCTGGATCCTGCTTATATGGTCTCTTAGTTGGGCATCCTGAGACCCAACCTCAAGCACGGCTTGCTTTCTGTTTGCAGCAGGATGGCTGCTGGCGTTGCTGGGGGAGGCAAGGGAACCCCTCGAAGCATGTGGCGTCTGCTTTGTCCCGGCATAGCCGGCTTCACGTGCTACCAGGCAGTTGGCAGCAGGCCCGTAAGGCAATTGTGTAGGAGGGAAAGATGGCCAGGACATGGCGTTTGCTATCAGAAGCAGCACAGATTTAGCCACTGGTTTTATTGGAACTTTTGGAGCTATTTATGCTGGGCATCTGTTGAAGTGCGTTGCTGATTCGGAGCCAAGCAACTCTTACAAGTTACGCTAGCAGTGAAATACATGTGTAGCATTGCAATCCCTTTTGATTTCATGTAACCAGACCTTGCACTCAAGAGGGTGCTTAAATCAACAACTTCCCCCTGTTCTGCAGTTTGTCAATCCTGTACCTTTCTAACCTGTTCTTAAATACCTACAGTGCTAGCTTCACGTGTTAGCGTCCCCAAAAGATGCAAACTTAATCTGGTGTGTTACTGTCCCTATTTTAGACTGGTTTTTTCCTGATGAAAAGTTGAAACTGATCTTGCTGAAGTGTTTCTGTGGCTTCTTGCACTTAGTTGTAGATTTATGTTTTTGTAGCGGCCTTTTACATTTGTGACTTTTTGCAGTTTTGTCCTTGGGACTTTCTTCTGTGGAAGCTCTGCAACCCTGACTCCTTTGAACTTTTATAGAGCTTGATTTTTCAGACCACTTGATTTTTTTTCTAGTGCTTTCCTCATATGTTGCGAATTGATATAGGGCATCCAGAAGTGGTTGCCTTACTGTGGATGAGACCTACGAGCCTTGATAACAGGAGTACTTGATTTATTTGAAGATCCTACTCCTTTGCATGCATTTTCTATGCATTTGTCATTCTTGCAATAGGGTGATACTGATCTATTACAAATCCTAAATGCATTTTCACAGAGCCTGTGTACCCCAACCTGTTTTGTATAGCTGATTTCTCCTGTTTATGTTGATTTGCACTTGGCCCTAGTGAATTGCACCTTGATCCATCATTATAAGCTGGATGAAATGGATAAACAGTCTGAAGCCTGTCTGCTACCATGCTGGCAGTCTGTCTGAGTGTGGTGTAAGGTCTGTGGACTCAGTGAACGATTCTTGTTCTGTCAGGCAGGTTATCACTGTAAAACCCAGAATGATGCTGACCCTGGGGCACAGATGAATCACTTCTGATTCATGGCTCCGTTTTGATGTCAAACCATTGACGGTTACCCACAGTAAAGTTATTTGACCTATTTGCCATTCCCTGTTAGCTTAATCTAGGTGATGCCTCAATAATTTGCCTTAAATATCATATAAAAGCATCAGAAGTCCTATGAAAGTCAAAATGGACAATGTCTATTGCCAAGTCTGATCCATAGGGCCTGCTGCCTTGTTGTAGAAGAAATCAGATTGATGTGATACATCTTGTTGCCAAATCCACATTGGCTGCTACTCGTCACCTTCTCTGCTCCTAGATGCCTGCAAATTGTCTGTGTTCCCATTTTTTTCTTGAAATTGAAATTAAACTGATGGATATGTAATTCCTGGCTGTTCTTCCCACTCCTTCCCTGAACATATTTGCTTCTCTTCTGTCCCGTCCCCCCCTCCTTCTTTCCTTCGGGCTGTGTGCTGTAAAGACACAGACAGGAGACAAAAGATTACAAGCCTTTAAGGAATCGGCTAATTCTTTAAGGAAACATGACAAAAGCAGTAAGCTTTGCTACAAGTGGGTAACTGAAAACAGCAGCTGGAGGCAGAAGAAGATACTGTGTTCACTGTCTCAGTAAGACATTAAGGGAGAATAAAACCATGAACGTGTTACTTAAAACGTTTTTACTCATGTTTCTGATGTTTCCCAAGCAAAGAATTTTGTTTTGTTTTGTTAAAAAGACGTTCCCTTAAACTTGTGATACGAGCTTCTCTGGTACTTCAGAAAGGTTGCTGCCATTTAAAGCTTTCTCTGTGTTCAAGAAGTTCATGCTGCACTGTAGCAGCTACCCTGTTTTCATGCCATCTAATCCTTGCTCGCTGAGACTGTACCACGTTCTTCCTTGGGAATGTTGTGTGAAAGAGGCTCTACCTTACTTCTGCACTGTGATATCTGCCAGAGAGGCAAAAGAGTATATATAAAAAAATAGGTTTTAGGGCTCCCAGTCAAGTACCTTTAATTGCATCAATGCTCCTCTAATTCTAGGAAAAATCATCCAACTTGCTCTGCCAAGGTGACAAATTGTATTGTTCACATGAAGGTGTCTGCTGCTGTTATTCATGTGTATGGCACAGTACTTCTAAGGATTGTGCAAAGAAAACCCACCAACTCTAAAGCCACTTGGACTTCTGTGAATCTTATGGTTTTTTTTCCTGTGCAGTTAATAATACTTTTTTCTTCTTTCTTTGTCCCTCTACCTCCTCTTCTGCAGTTTCAGCTTCTTGCCTCAGCATTATTTAAGTCTGGCTCGGATTTCACCACTCTTGGTGAGTATTGTGTATCAGAAGAATTATACTGACTGTGTTCCCTCTGATAATGACTGTTAGTTTCTGCTGTTTTTTATATCAAACGTTATAGTTCATGTGAATGTTGTAGGCCTTTTTCAGTTTGAATATGCAAAGTGCCACTACATAGACATTTGAGAGATTATTTATAATGACCAGTGTCCAGTGCCTTGAGCCCATATTTAAAACATCTGTCACCAGTGGTTTTAAACCCATGCCTCCCGGGACCATTTTGTGTCTCTTATTACATCTGATGCTTCACTGTTACCCAAATAAACAGAAGCTTTGGTCAGAATAAAGCACCTCCTGTCATGTCACTTTGGAATCTCACAGCATGGCTACGGCTCTGTTTGCTGTGATAACTGCAATTCCTGGAGTAGTTTGGTTCGCTCTGTTCTTTGCAAAACTAGTTCTTTGGGCAGAATGTCAAGAGCGAAGAAAACAGTGGCGTGTAGGGCTGGAAACGGGAGGTCTGAGCCAAAGCCATAATTTGTTTCACTATTCTGTCCAGTTAACTCTTTTAAACAGTTGAGAGATTAATCCTGGGCAAGGTATAGGAAGGCTATAGGCATAACTTACATTCTTGTAATAATGTGTTGTCCTCAAGTTACCGACTCTCTCTAGGAGCATGGATGACTTCAGTTTTTGACGAATGCGTAATTCCCATCTAAGGAATTCAAAGAAGGAAAAAGCCCACTGCACTATCTGCCCTGCTGGATGAGGAAGCTCTGCTGAGCTTGTGTGGTTTGGAAGACAGTGTCTAGTGAATGCTATAAGATGAATTTTTTAAAGGAAGAAACCCCAAGTTTCAGAAAGTTGTTTTCTCCCTAGTTTTAAGTGTTCTAAAAGATGAATTAGTTCTTGACACAACACAATACTTTATTTACAGATAGGAGGATACATACATGAAGTGGTACTTCTAAAATAAAACAAAAAACCTAAGCCCTCCTTGATTTGATTAACTTGGTTGACTTTGATTAACTGAAGGGCAAGTTCACTGAATTAAAAAGCATTCCTTTGAGATACCAGTGATTGAAGTAATACAAAGCAGAGGAAATTGTTGTATGCCCACTCTATTGTTCCTGCTGTTGATGGTTTAAGTATGGGGATTTGGATAAACAATGCTTCTGCTGCAGACTAAACCTCCCCGGTTGGGAGGCAGCACTTTACAAAACTATTTTGCAAAGCACCCCTGTGCCAAGATGCAGCCTGGGTCTTCGGTGCAAGTCCAGCGATTAAATAGCAACTCTGACTTGGGACTCCTACCATTAGCAGAGCTTGTCTCAGGAAAAACTGCAAGCAATACAAGTACCAGTTCTGGTTAAGACAGTACTGAAGATAATGAGGCAAGCCTGAGGACAGAAGAAATGAGGCACCAAATAAAAATAGCTACACAGATTTTGTTTTCTGGGACATCAGAGCAGTCCCCTGAGGACTCTTGCTTCCCCCATTTCTTCAGGACTGTCAATGAGCTTGACAGCCGTTTGCTTACTACTTTTTATGGCATTTTGATTGCAGTGTTGACTTGGGGTGACATGATCTCTGTGTTTATATGCACATAGTAGTGGGATGGAGAGCTGGCAGCCTTGTTAGTTGAGGCAGAAGTAGCAAACAGTTAACATCTGTCCAAAATGGACAACTGGCGTATCCCACAGCTAAACTGAGTGTTTAAAGTAGTGAGCACTGACTTGCTTTCCCTTTTTCTTCCTCCCCCAGGATTTTCAGATGTTGACCACACATATGCGCAGAGAACTCAGCTGTTTGATACACTAGTCAACTTCTTTCCAGACAACATGACCCCTCCTAAAGGCAACCTGGTGGACCTCATCACGCTGTAACGGAGCAATCACTGGACATGTGGAAGAGGGGAAAAGCATCCATTTTCAGTATTTTAATTTTTTTACTGCATTGATTGACTGCTGGGATGAAGTAATATAGTAACCCCTAGGTGTTTGAAAGGGGTTTTATACTTGTATGGTGAATCCCTGAAGCTTTTCCCTTGGAGTAGGTTAATAAAATGTAACTGACGTACTTCCGACTAAATATATATATTTTTTTCTGACTTTGGATTTTGAGTTAGCAAATGTAAGATGAAAAGGTAGGGGGAAAGATAAAAAAAATAAAACCCAATCATGAAGTGATCATTTTTGCCTGTAGGGGAAAATGGAGATTTGTGGGTTGTCTGGAATTAAAGATGATGGGTTTTTTTGGGTTTTGTGAGAAAGGGGGAGGAGGTTGTTCTTTGCTCATTTGTTGCTAGTCATGATATATTGCTTTATCCTACAACTCCATCCTCAGCAGCTGAGTAACTTGGTGGCAGGACACTGGCACGCATTGAGGTAATAGTAATGTATGTGTCTTGAGTCTTGTAATCGCAGTGTGTCATGTGAAGGGGAGCACGTGTTACAAATTATCTGTCTCCTTGTCCCAGAATCAGGCTGACAGTGGTGTCTAATTGTATCTGATACCCGATCTCAACCTGAATGCCTACATGCCTATCCTCTGTTCTCTGGAGCCTTCCACTTAAACCTGACAGGCAAGTGGGAACCTCAGAGAAATCACTGGAAAACGGGAGTGCGGTCGCCATCTGCACAGGCCCCTTTTCGGGGATTGTTCTGTTTTCACTGCTGTGCTCTTCTGGTAAGAAACCGTGCAGGTCCTCACAGAGCCCAGCAGAACTGGGTCTTCCACCACACGCACACCCAACCTCTGCAACCTTACTCCCGGTTGGGTGTAGGATTTCTGAAGCAGATTGTCTTCGTTTACATGCACCTATGCCTCTGTGTGCGTTTGTCAATGTGTAAATGTAAAGAGGATTGCTCCAAACAGCTTGTCTCCTTCCTATGTAGTGCAGCTCATTCACTTTTAAATGCATTTTAGACCTAGATCTGAACGTGAGGGAGGCCTTTTTAGCATAAATCTCTTTGAAAGCAAGCTCATGCATATGTATAGAAAATATATTCTTCCTCGCTGAAAGCCTTCTTTATAAATAAGGTAAGGGCTTGGTGCTGCACTATGAAGTGGAATGAAGGTTACGCATACCCAGCATTAGATACTTTTTGCATTTGGTGTCAGTGAGCATTCAGTACAAACTGGCAGATGTAAATATTTATATGAGACTACAAAGCTTTATGTCCAGAAATGTTCATGCCAGGAGGGTATCATTGCTGCACCCACTGTGGCTACATGACTCCTGTTGAACTTGATGGAAGTCTTGTGTGTGCAAAGGTGATTTGGACTCTTGAAATAAAGAGTTAGTGAAGTGTCTTTTTCAGAGCTCGAGTGTCTGCTTGCTTTGATTGCATTGTATTACCTCTTTATCCTGTTCTTTGTGTGACTTTTGTAGTCCTGGTACATTAGAAATAACTTCAGAATCTCATACTAGTGTTCAGTCACTTAAGAGCAATATGTTAGAGGCTGGGCTTTGCTTTGTCTTCAGGGAGGACTATACAAATATAGTGTTTTTAAGTAACCTGTAACTTGAGACTGTTTAGACATTGTATACTTCAGTGGATGGCAAATCAGATGTCTGTGGAAGAATCCACTCAGTACATAGTGCAGTAAATGAAATCTGATTAAATTGTTTCTTTGAAACATTGCATATTTTTTTTTCCAGTGACATGGAAAGTTTTACGTCACCACTAGGCTTTACAATGTGCTACCTTTGCTGACGCTTTGTTAACTAGTTAAAGTGGAGATTATATGGTACGAATGTGGATGCTGGCAGTGCTATACTGGGGGAATATTCCAACTGAGGCATTGTTTCCATTGAGATTGAATTGAGCACTTCTAATGCAACCAGCCAAAATGTTGCAGTCCTCTAGTACTTAAAACTATAGTGCTGTTGTGCTCTCTTATTGCTTGATCTCATTGCCTGTGTACTCTCCAACTTCAGTCAGATGATTAATTGCTTTTTGTGACAGTTTTCTAATCAGCCAAGCTCTTTGTGAACTTCTATGCGTACACCTTCGATGACTATGTTGACGCTGAACCCAAGAGATACAACTAGACTGAGGAGCCCCCGTGAGCAGGGAGTGGAAGTTTAGGAATGCCAAAAGCTTTGTGAATGGCGTTGGTGCCGAGCAGTGCATCGTGTCAGGCTTGATCTGTGTTATAGAAATTCGATCAAAACTCATTGTCCTCTGCGTCGGGGGTGCATGCAAAGCCAGACAGCCTGGTTCAGTTTTTTGTAGCATAGCATAAATGAATGATTTGTCTGAACGAGGTGAACACTGCTTCTGCAGGACTGACAATCCCAGCTAATGAGAGCACTTCAGGATGATCAAATATTGACCTACCTTTATCCTGAGCAGATCGATTTCAGCTCGCACGAGTACAGTTTATGGATTACAGCTGGTGATTAACTAGCAGAAACATTTGCTCAGCTTTGGAGTATTTGTTGAGCAGCAGAGGCACCCTGTGGCCAGAGAGGTTAATCCAAAGTGAAGGTTTCTTGTGGCTTTGCCAAGGGTCTTTCCTGGTACTGTGTCCTTAAAGCTAGGAATCAAAATTAAATTATTTCTTTGCATTGGTGTATGCTGCACTACCTGATTTAAAAACTAATTAAAAATTCTGAGCATTGAAGTATAAATTTCCTTTCCAAATAAGCCAGTTATTAACAAGCAGTTACAGGGAGAGTTTGAATTTAAGTACATGCAGATCTTTAAAGATACTGGTGATATTCCAGGAAAGCATTAGATGTGGTCATTACAGAAATACTGAAGTACAAACAGAAAAAACCCTGACTTGATCTGGAAACAGCCACCTGAAAATGTTTCATAGCCCAGTGCATGCAGTGTTATGAATATACAAGCTGTATGTGAGAAGTCTTCAAACCTCACCCTTCTTGCTTGCAGGCTGTAGCAAAGACTGCTTTTTAGCTTAAACAAGACAAGCATACTATATTTGCCTTTACCTTATAATATAAGGTGACTTTTTATATGGATTTAGCACTGCATAATCTTTGCACTACAGTAGTTTATCTCTAAATGATGTGTTAACTTGTAAATTAGATATCGCAAAAGAAAGCATCATTACCTGTCAGAGAGACTCATTTATGATCACTGGGGTCTTTAAAGCCAAAGTTCTAAGGTTCTGGTATGTTTTTTAAAATTATAGGAAGTCAGGGTGGGATAAACTTGATACAGACTTCAAGACTTCAGTCCTGATTTAGCTTTTTTTTTTTTTTTTTTTAAAAAAAACCTTTTGAGATCCATGAGTTTGGTAGTTTGGTTCTTCACTGACACTGGCCTTCAGCCTAGTTGCCCTTACAATATTATTCAGCAGATCATCTCTTTGGAAAATGTGAAATTATTCTTTATGCAAAGTTGTTCCTATCAAGTGACACATTTTCCTAGAGAAATTAAGCCCTTCAGGTTTGATTTTTGGTCACTTGGATTAAGCAGAATTAAGTGAGTTTCTTAATGTTTGTCTTATACAACCCCTCATAGTAGTCACGAGGCAAAAGTCCTTAAGACTTCTCCCAAAATGACTTTTCCAAGCAAGTACTGCTATCGCAGTGTGACCTAACTAATTTTTATGTGGTAGGTGGCAGAAGGACCTACTTAGATGGTGTTGTTACGAATGAGAAGACTATAGCCACCTTCTTAATTAATATTGATCCTGGGGAGACCTGAAGGGTGATGCAAAGTGGTTATTGAAATTAGTTGTAGCTTTTCTCTTCTGGCTTTTTTAAAGATAACATTTGTGACATATTTATTCTTAAGCATCTCTTCCTTTTGCTAAGTGTAATGAGGAAGGAGAACTTTGTTTCTGAAAAGTTTAGTTTGCCCTTTCTCTGAACAGCATCATGTATGTGTAGTTGAGGTATTCATATCCAGTTGTGTAAATAAATGTCTGGGATTCAGTTCAGTTTGCCCAGGATGACTCTGTGTACACACAGGTACATGCTGGCTCAGGGCTCAGGCTGGAAGTTCCTACCAGAACACCAATTAGCAACATCATACTTTCATTTTGGAAAATCAGTCTTTGAAGACCCAGTTGGAAAGGCTTTTCTGAGGTATTTGCCTTGTGCAGTGGCAACTAGAGGGAGATTAGGAAACTTTCCTGAAGAGCATGCTAAAACTTCCCTTTATGAGGATTGTACTGGAGTAAGGATGCAGTGACAGGCTTAAATTGCTGAAACTTTTTGGTCACTGATTATAATAAACTAGCCTGAAAAATTAATGATTGAGGAGTCAGTAAGCAAATTAAGTGGACCCACGTATTGGCAGGAGGGCAGGCTCTTTGCGGAGGTACGGGGGCTAGCGACTCCTTCCAAAGCAGAGTAATGACTCTGCGAGAGTGTTTTCCATAGGGCTTTGTGGAACAGCCGTTTTCTGAATCATATTCCTGATGTGTGCAAATTTTTAGAAGGGAGTTTTCTTTGTCACAAAGTTGTATGCTGATCTTGCCCTGTGGTGCAAACCTGCACTTGTGAGTGCCGCAGACAAGTGATAAATTCAGAGCAGTGTTCTGAGAAACACTTGAAACTTGTTTGCTGCTCTTATTGTAAGAAAGATTAGCATTAGTGCTGCTTGTTTCAGGTGCAGCAGGGTGGCAGGTACCTGTAACGTTAATACTATTAATTCTCTTGCTGCCTCCTGTGTTTCAGAACTGAGAAGGAAATACTTTCGTAGAGCTTACCGAGTGAAACTTTTAGCATGAATTAGCTCTGTGCAACCTTAAACTTGAATGCTCCTCCATCTCTGTACATGCAGTAATTCTGTTGATGTAATGCTGTGCTGCTTCTGGGAAAAATGGCAAAAATTATTAGATACATTTCCATTCAGTACCTTTGTTTTTAGAAGTGGAAAAATGTCTTGTGAAACCTTGAGTCCTGGTGTATGCTTTGAATTTTAGCTGCTTTGTTGTGTTTGGCTCAGAA